AGGGGGGGGGGGGTTGGTTCCGAGGCAGAGGGCAGATTATTGGCCTCACCTGTACCACTTGTATCAATTGTATCACTATCCACAGAGGCTTGCAGGGCCTCTTTGTCAAACCCCTCAAAGTCCATATAAGTCCATATCCTCACTATCACTGACTTGGGCCGGCTGTGGTGGGTGGCGGGTGAAGAACTCGGTAATGTTTTAATGACTGGGCGACCTTGTGCGCACCCTGCCTGCGCCGCTCTCCGCGTAAAAGAGTACACGCACTGCGTAAAGTGAGCATTCCTGGTCTGGCAGGGTACCGCGTAAACGTGGAAACGCGTAAAAAAAAAACGTGTAAAGCGGGGTAATACTGTAATAATAATAATAATAATAATAATAATAATAATAATAATAATAATAATAATAATAATAATAAAATAATAATAATAATAATAATAATAATAATAATAATAATAATAATAGTCATAAAATTACATATACCTGCCCTAAATTATGTGTTGCAAAATAACTATAACATAGTTCACAGCTCCCACAAAGAAATGTTTGACCTTATACTAATTATTTTCCTTATTTGTTTTGCATATTCTGCCTGAAGGAGTATAAAAAATAAAAGAACTACATACCCCCTATTATTTTTTGTACTAATTTATTATTTTTTATTACAAGTATTAATGATACTCTTTATTTCAGGAGTTTAAATGCACATTTATGCACTTTTTTTTAAATTTTACAATTTCATATTATATTTTTCATTGTTAAGTGGTTGTATTTGGGTGCCTAGAACAGATTACCCCTATAACGAATGAGGTTCTAGAACCAATTAGATTGGTGTTAGCATACCCCACTATGTCTACCCAAATTACGAGTTAAAATAACCTGTCTAAGTGCTAACTCTGGCTCTTCAGGGTCTCAAGAACAGAAACCATTTCTCCGTTTACGCTTCACCACTTTACAATGTCTCTTTGAAGTCCCTAACCTCATCATATAAAAATCGACACTTGTACTGTATTTCAAATTTTATCACAATGGGCAGGGTGCCCTTTCCATTAAAATAAACATGAGTCAGCCGCGTGTGTGTATGGCCAATGTGGAGGCGGGCCAAAGCAGTCTGCCAGCGACCCAACAGTCCCTAATATTCCCAGGCACCCAATGCAGGGTGGATGTTGCAGAGCTTGTTTGCTCCGACAGCATCCCATCTGCGTTGCCAACTCAAATGGATGGCAGCTCTTATTACTGGTTTCATATCAGAGGCACAGAGCGAGAAGCACCTGCTGTTGCCACAGCATCAGCACATTCATTCCCCTTCTCCCTCACATGGGCAGGAACCCAATAAAAACCAACTTTCCGGCTCAGAGGTTGGACGAGAAATAGCCACTGTAAAATATCTGTAACTAATGGATGTGGCGATGAGACATTAGCTAAGGCCTGAAGAACACTATAAGAACTGCTCAAATTTTTAAAATCACTATTAAGTTGGGTAAAAATAATCTTGAGGGCAAGTAAAATACTCGACAGCTCTGCCGTAAAAAAGATCAGTTGTAAACAGAGTTAGTGTACTGTATGTAAGCAGCATAGTAAATGCCCAGATTTAATGAACAACCCTTCTCCCATAATAAGGATTTACTTTGTAAATGTAGTACTGTACAGGAGGTGCCCGACTTACGAACGTTAGAGTTACGAATGCCCGCCGATATGAACGGGGTTAAACTTGAAATTTACAGAATTTAATTTACCTGATGATTTATTTTTTACTTTCATTTTCTGTATTTTGTCATTCTATTTCTTCTTTTGTCTTAAATCAAGTAATTTTAGATGTACAGTATATAAGGACTTAGGCTATGACAGAGTGGGATTTTAAACATTGTTCTGTAAGTACGGTATACACATAGCTTGTGTTCTCACTTACGTACAAATCTGACTTACAGAAATCCTCAGGAACGGAACCCATTCATAACCCGGGGACCCCCTGTAAACTGTAACCGAATACAGTGTGTCCTATGAATAAAAAAAAAGGAGTTAAAACTGCTACAATATAGATATAACTAACTATACATACAAAATAGTGATTGTACAAATAATGTGGACCTCCTGCCTGTGGCAGATTAGATAAAAAAATATTAGCCTGAATTCTTAATTTTGTTATGGAAATTGTGCACAGTAAAGAAGTGTACAGTTTTCACAGAAAGTCTGGAATTTGGAAGAGAACAGAAGCTTGGAGGTGTGGATATTGCCAGAAATGAAAGACAGCATGAGCACAGCATCAGCTGTAGGCAGCATTCATGCAATGTAAACAAAGCTGTTAGCTTTTTTTTTCTTTTTACGGGGAATAGCCCACCCAGGCACAGGTCATCGACTCACAAGGGGGCCTGGGGGGCAAAAAATAAGAGTAAAAAGAAATTACAAAAAAAAAGAGAAAAATATTACAATATATTAATCTACACCACGAAGATGCCAGAAAACCAGCTTTTTGAAGTGAGACAAATTGTATGAATATGGAAACACAGAAGGCAGAGCATTCCACAGTTTGGCTGTGTGAGAAAAGAAGAATGTACTATAACAGGTTATTCTAGTGTGACCGACATCCACAGAGAAACGGTGGGCACCGCGGGCAAGACGTGTGATTGAGCCCACGGCCTTGCCAGCAGTACACAAGATGCCAAATCCACCAGATATTGCACATTACAGTACCTGTAAAAGAGAGAGAATGAAGCAACATTGGACAGAAGAAGAGCCACCCCAGATATGAGAGCAGTACTCCAAGTTAGGACGATTGAATCCCTTATATACTTGAAGCAACTGCTCAGGAGTGAAGTAACTATGGCATCTGTACAGCATTCCTAACTTTCAGGAGGCAGCTTTAGCAAAGTTGTGGATGTGTGGCTTCCATGACATATTAGTGTACCTGGTGAGGCCTAGCATATCTATTTTAGAATTTGGCAGAATTATTGTGTCCTCAAACGTGATTGGTGGGAGATCATCTAAGTTGTAAAGTTTAATTGAAAAATACTGTGCTTAATTACAATTGAATGTAACCAAGTTTCTACCTCCCAATTCGAAGATGCTGCACAGATCTGCACTGATAGGTGAAATGATATCAGCTCTAGAAACATCCAGTTTGAGAATTAGGGGCAAGGGAAAAATGTGAGGAGCAGAATCATCAGCACAAGAATGGATAGAATTAGTTTTAGTTTGAAGTAACCCTGTGGAACATCACTATTGGTAGGGAAAGAGTGAGATCGATCCCTCGACAACAACTGCCATGGATTGGAAGTTTAGAAAGCAAAGACTTGTGCCATACCCTGTCAAATGCTTTGGAGAAGCCAAGGGCCACGACGAATGTTTCCCCACAATCCCTAAGAGAGGATGACCAAAGATGGGTGCAGTAGGAGAGCAGATCACCAGTAGATCTCGCCTGGCGAAAGCCATACTGGTGATCCGACAAAATATAATGGCATTCAAAGTGATGGGAGAAAATAGGAGTTCAAGATAGTTTTGAATATCTTAGAGAAGGATGAAGTTAGGGCAATGGGACAATAGTTAGAGGGATTAGAATGGTCACCCTTCTTCGGGATGGGCTGAACCAAGGCATGCTTCCAAGAAGAAGGAAAAGTTTGGGTTTGGGGCAAAGGAGAAAGAGGCGAGCAAGCACAGGGGCCAGAGCTTCAGCACACTCCCTCAGAACACGAGGGGGTATTCCCTCCAGTCCATGAGCTTTACTAGCATCCAAACAATTCAGTTATTGGGGTGGAGTATTTTCTGCAATTTGTTCCTAAATGTTTATATAATTATCGATTATATAGTACATAATTAATTTATAATTTATAGTAAGATTGCTGTCAAAATAACAATATTTTGAAGTTGAACTGAATTCACATAAAACTCCAGATTTATTTGTAAAATTCCCTGGCCTTTCCAGCCCCAAATATAATTCCAGGTTTTCCAGACCAGTAGAGACCCTGGTATATCATTTTCTCTGAGTTATCCTCAACAAAAAAGTACTTGTGTTCAAATTCCATGAAACTCCCAGTCTTCATTTTCAAGTTTCTTTTTTTATGATGCAATTTCCATTACTGGTGTGAGAACCAATGCAAAGGGGCAATGAAAGACTGAAAACTATTTGAAAAGGATGAGATAATTCCACAGCACAGCCAGAACTGGTGGACTTTTCACTTCGGTAACAGATTAAGCAACGAGTTTCAAACTAACTTTTTCTTACGACTTTAATCAGCTAAAATAAGCTGGCTGTAAGGATTTCCAATTTTCAAAGTCAACTGGAAATAAAAAAATGAGTGACTCAGGCTTACATACATTTAAGCTTAAAAGAGATTATTAAAAAAGCACATACAAAAGAAGCAACAACCAATAGTACACAGTCACCAGGTTTAACACATGAAGCTCTTCAAGGTCACAAGCCAATAGCAGTTTATTGATGGCTTATTCTATAATACACCAACTGAGGGGAGTTGAGACATAAATCCTCTGTGGCTTGTGGTAGGTCAAGATACATGAATCAGTCTGAGTTTTGAGCTGGATAACTCAGGTGGCCAACTAAGGCACCCATGGATTCAGTGGCTCATAACCCAGATCCATTAGGTTATGTGAGTGCTGGCAGCAACAACATTGGCTGTATGGATGAAGTGTCTGGCCTCTAACTTTAAAAGCTGCCTGATAAAGGTAAGCTCTGTGTTTAGTATTGGTAGACCTCACAGGTCATTGATGACAATTTCACAGGCCAAAAAATTTCCCCCCAAAATGTGTATTGGAAATGAGACATAGAGAAGATGATTTTTTTTGGGGTGTTTACATTCACCAGTGTCCTGTAAGTGCCAATATTAAGAATCTCTACACCAATAAAATCTATTCTCCAGCATACAGATTGTACTATGAACCTCCAAAAGAATATACTGTAATTCATAATCAAATAATAACCTCAATCTACTGATCCTCTGATAAATAAGTGGACCATAAGTTTTGAAACTGCTTTTGAATTTGATATTCACCTTCCTTAAGGTCCATGATCCACAGGGTATCAAGAGCATCTATGAGCGTGAGACCGAGCCTTAACCAATCGTTTCGCGTTCTTGACATTGGTTTGAGGTGATCATGACCCCAAGCATAGGTCTTGTAACCTTTCCAGGCATGTTTCATGGCTGCCACTACAGCTTCTTGTCTTTCATTTCCTGTTAATAAAGCAAAATAATAATGCATCTTAATACATATTATAGTACAGTATAGTGGCTATGTGAAGAAAAACTTTGTACTTCATAAAATTACCTTTTTAATGATTTATTATTCAATAAAAAGAAATTCATATAACTTTAAAAGATAAAAATTTAAGGATTGATCCTAAAATCCCATTTAATGACATGGTCTGGAATCAGTCAGCATGAGGAATGGCATAACACAGAGCCTTTCAACACGATCCACGAGACCTGACATTAGCGGTAGGAACCGGTCTTAAAATTGGTCAATAACTGTTGCCCTGAAAGGAATAATAAAGGCAATGATTTCCTCATAGACACTAGAGAGGGGAGGCCTTAATGAGCATGTGGCATCACATTAGCTAGCATACAACCCACTATTTTGTTAGGATCAAACACAATATATTTTCAGGCATCAATTTTCATTTGGTCCCCAGAGACTTTAACACTAACTTACGGGAAGAGGAAGTTCAAGGGTTAATGATAAAAGGAGGATGTGCCCACCACTAACCATCTCAATGTAACTGGAGATATGTTATTAAGAGTCCCTTGAGCCCTTTGGGTGTGTCCCTTGAGCCCTTTGGGTGTGTCCCTTGAGCACTTTCGGTGTGTCCCTTGAGCCCTTAGGGTGTGTCCCTTGAGCCCTTAGGGTGTGTCCCTTGAGCCCTTAGGGTGTGTCCCTTGAGCCCTTTGGGTGTGTCCCTTGAGCACTTTGGGTGTGTCCCTTGAGCCCTTTGGGTGTTGTCCCTTGAGTGTGTCCCTTGAGCCCTTGAGGGTGTGTCCCTTGAGCCCCTGGGTGTGTCCCTTGAGCCCCCTTGAGCCCTGGTGTGTCCCTTGAGCCCTTTGGGTGTGTCCCTGAGCCCTTTGGGTGTGTCCCTTGAGCCCTTTGGGTGTGTTGGGTGTGTCCCTTGAGTGGTGTCCCTTGAGCCCTTTGGGTGTGTCCCTTGAGCCCTTAGGTGTGTCCCTGAGCCCTTAGGGTGTGTCCCTTGAGCCCTTGGTGTGTCCTTGAGCCCTTTGGGTGTGTCCCTTGAGCCCTTTGGGTGTGTCCCTTGAGCCCTTTTGTGGGCCCTTTGGGTGTGTCCCTTGAGCCCTTTGGTGTGTCCTTGAGCCCTTTGGGTGTGTCCCTTTGGGTGTGTCCCTTGAGCCCTTTGGGTGTGTCCCTTGAGCCCTTTGGGTGTGTCCCTTGAGCCCTTTGGTGTGTCCCTTGAGCCCTTGGGGTGTGTCCTTGAGCCCTTTGGGTGTGTCCATGAGCCCTTTGGGTGTGTCCTTTTGGGTGTGTCCCATGAGCCCTCCCTTGAGGGTGTGTCCCTTGAGCCCTTTGGGTGTGTCCCTTGAGCCCTTTGGGTGTGTCCCTTGAGCCCTTTGGTGTGTCCTTGGAGCCCTTTGGGTGTGTCCTTGAGCCCTTTGGGTGTGTCCCTTGAGCCCTTGTGTGTCCTTGAGCCCTTGGGTGTGTCCCTGAGGTTGTGTCCCTTGAGCCTTTGGGTGTGTCCCTTGAGCCCTTTGGGTGTGTCCCTTGAGCCCTTGGGTGTGTCCCTTGAGCCTTTGGGTGTGTCCCTTCCCTTGGGTGTGTTGAGCCCTTTGGGTGTGCCCTTGAGAGGGGTGTGTCCCTTGAGCCCTTTGGGTGAGTCCCTTGAGCCCTTTGGGTGTGTCCCTTGAGCCCTTTGGGTGTGTCCCTTGAGCCCTTTGGGTGTGTCCCTTGAGCCCTTTGGGTGTGTCCCTTTAGCCCTTTGGCTGGGACCTTTGGGTGAGTACCTTGAGCCCTTTGGCTGGGACCTTTGGGTGAGTACCTTGAGCCCTTTGGCTGGGACCTTTGGGTGAGTACCTTGAGCCCTTTGGCTGGGACCTTAGGGTGAGTACCTTGAGCCCTTTGGCTGGGACCTTTGGATGAGTACCTTGAGTCCTTTGGCTGGGACCTTTGGACGAGTCCCTTGGGCCGTTTGGCTGGGACCTTTGGGTCGGCCAGAGATGATCGGTTAATCAAAGCCAAACCAATAACAACCCTGCACAACCATCCAAAAAAAGGAAAGGGGGAAAAAAAGGTTGGCAGTCTGTTGTGAGGCAGTATCTAGCCACCCTGAGCTTCACCCTCTAGGTACCCACGCAACTCCAGATATACTTACCTCGGTAATAGTCCAGTTTATTGTGGAAGTTCATTCAGAATTTTTGGAGATTTGCTAATCTTTAAATATTTAGAAACTAAAGAGTATAGTAAAACCTCGATAAATTGGACTTCAATATACAATACAGTGATATCCTCATTAGCTACAGCAATTGGTGCAGAGCACTTCCGGGAATGAGAGATTTCCGGCTAACGAGACGACTCTCTCAAAGCCGGAAAAACTCCCCCATCCATGGAAATTTCCGGGTATCGGAAAATTTTTCTCAGAATTTTTCGGAAAATGTGGCCCTCGGAAAATCTTTCCCAAAGCAGGAATTTTCCGGAAATTCCAGCTTTGATAACGATTTTCCGAGAAAATTTCACTTCTGGCTATCGGAGAGTTTCAGGTTTGAGGGATTCCGGCTAACGGAGATACAGTAGGGTCAGGATATATCGCGAGATAGGGTTCAACGATGTTCACTATACAGGCATCCCCCGGGTCACAGAAGGTTTCTGTCCTTGAAAATTTGTCCGTAACACGAAACGAATTTTTCCATTGACTTCCATTATATAATTTGAGATGAATTCCCAAGGAAATATTTTCGGCAACAAGACGTAATACAAGCACATTTATGAATGAGAATAATTGATTATTTTATGATATAATATGATAATAAATACACAAAACACTTGAATTTAACTTATCACAAACAATGTTGAGTGCTGAGTTAGGGGAGGTGGTGCAATCAGGAGTTACTGAGAAGGAGACGGAGGGGCACTACTGCCTCGCCCTGTACTGTACAGTATTGTAGCAACCACCAAGAAATCCACTCAAAATATGTTTTATAATTTCTGTGAATTTTTTTTCTAATAGTATTGAAAAAAAAATAACTTAAAAATTTACCCAATTTCCATAAGGGCGAATTTGTCTATATATCCCGAATTTACTGGTCATAATTTACAAAATCTGTAGGAGCAAATTTCCGTAACCCGGGGGATGCCTGTATACTAAATCGTGATATATAATTACGTACATGTAATCAATGGGGAAAATAGGGTTAGGTTCGGGGGGCCCAAAAAAGTGACTAAACTTAACTTAACACGTTCATTTTCTTACGAATTAAAGCACCAAAGAGCACTAGACTCGGGAACAACAGGCTATTTCAATATCAATATCAAGGAACACCAGACGCCACACTGCCACCCTCACTTGACAATCCCACACCTACATAAACGAACACCAAAAATATAAGTTACAGTATTAAATCTTTTCCATTAAGCTTTCCATTATCTTCAATTTTCACGTCACTATCAACCCATTTACACTCGCTTTAGAAGTCGTAATCTGCAGCAGTCGACTGCTTTCTCGTCACTCACTCAGAAAGACTGAGCGAGCGAGAATGAATGTGTGAGTGAGCAGCCACGGTGGAGCCTCTGGTGAGAAAATAACCCATTTGTTTGTCATGGCAGAACATTTGAAATATTTCCTGCCTGATTTCCCTCATGAAATAAAAAAATTATCGTTATATAGAGGAAAATGTCAAAAATTTTGGTAACCGCGATATAAAAAAATCGTTATACAGTAGAACGTCGATTTAAAGCAATTAAATTTACGATTATTGACTTAAAGCGACACCCACAATTAAGGGCAATGCTTTGACATGAAGCGAACCTTTCCTATTTTGCGCGAGTCAATCTGCCGCACCATATTTTAAATTTTGCCCCAAATGTTTCTCTAGGCACGCTACACTGTCCTAAGGGCAAAGCTGTACTGTACATGTACATTACTCAAAATATTGTACTAATTGATTACTAAAATTTTTGTCTAGTGCAAATTATAGCAAGATTATACTCAAATTAATCACTATCTTATAAGAATTCCAGCAATGTAAATTATATTCTCCCCGGTCACTTCTGTGACATTTTATAAGAGAAAAACAAAAACTAAATCTAAAGGACATGAATAAACAAATAAATACTTCACTAGACCTTCAGCCCCAACTGTCAAAAGTGTCACTGTTACCCCCCCCACCCCCATCTTCCCAGCCTGGGTTTGGTGGTTATAGGCTTACAGTTTTTATCTTATATAATATCACAGACTAAAGTTAGGAGAATATAATTTGCATAGCTGGAATCCTTGTAAGACAGCGAATAATTTGACTATTAATGTCATATATTTTGCACAAGAGGTAAAAATTTTAGCCCTTTGCAATAAAATTATTAATTAAAACTCAAAATTTGTATGTCTAATGCGAGCTATAGCATGTTTATATTCAAACCAATCAGTATCTTATAATAATTCCAGCAATGTTAATTATATTCTCCCATGTCAGTTCAGTGACATTTTATAAGAGAAAACTTAAAGTTACTCTTAAGGACTGATAAATAAATAAGCACTAGACCTTGGCATCAACTGTCAAACATATCACCTCACCTCCCTAACCCCCCGCCCTACCCCTACCCCATCAGCTGCTTGCTAGTAAACAGACAATTTCACGTCCCATAATTTTAACTGTGTTGAATTATGAGTGTTTTTTTAACATAATACTGTACTACAAAAAACAATGTTTTGTTTATTCTAGGAGATGGGCTGAGGTGCATCTGGGTAGACTCTCAGTCTTTTTAGTATTTTGTGTTTCTCTCAAGTACCAAACTAAATTATTCCATTGAAACAACACTTTGATTTAGTGCAAATTCGGTTTAAAGCGAACCTCTCTTGGAACATGTCCTGTGTTATATCCACGTTCTACTGTATTCACATCATTAGCGGTTGTGGTGGATGGTCACGGCCAAGATGCGTTGGGTAAGAATCTGGTTTCTTGCAACAAAATATGTCTAGTATTATACATGTTGTCTTTCAAAAGTTAGGGTCAAATTACACAAGAGGTATATGAAAAACCCTTACTTTTTTACAAGAAAATCAGGGATCAAACTATTCACACATACAAATTGTATATAAAACTGTGAAAAGATACTTATTGCCTCATATTATCCATCTAAATGCAGGAGAGAAAATGTTACCAAGAAAGTTGGGTTCTGTAGTGAGGGTGTACAGGAAGGCTAGAGCATTGTAGCAATATAGTGAAGCTAAGGGTTTTTGGGAGATGTAATAATCATTGACAATCCCACTATTGATTGAATATCTTCATGGACCATATAAATAACCACCATATCTCTGAATACCTCAAAATACTCAGAATGTGAGTCAGCAAGGAACTGCCATAGTAGCAAATGCATTTATCACTTGAGAAACACATCCTGCTAGTAAAATACTGTGACCCACAACAAAGATGAACTCTACCATGGGGTGTTCAGCATTATGGGGTGTCATCAATCACTCACCAAAAAATGTGGGCCACAAAATCAATTTTTGGAAATTAAACAAGAACAGAAAAATAAAAGAAATATACTGACAGTGGAACAGAAGCAAGTAATATGTAAAGATTGACCATGGCCTCAGTTTATGCTCAAAGAGCTAAGTCAAGTGAACTACAATAGTTGAGGGTTAATCCCAGTATACCTGTTGGCTCACTGACTCATAGTAACTACTGAACCAAGGTTAAAGCTTGCTTCATAAGCCTGGTTAAAGCTTGCTTCATAAGCCTGGTTTGATTGGGTGAGTAGCCGTTTATGCAACATTTACACTGATTCAACAGGAGAGTGTCCCTGCTTCAATAACCGAGATACCCTCTATGCAAGACAGGCTTAGCAGAGGTATTCAGGTGGAATAATCTCAACAGTCAATTGATCCACAGATCATAAACACATACTTTTTTGTGGTAGTCCTGGGGGAGGAACAATCTGATCTCTTCCATCTCTCATTTCTTCATCCTTTTTGGGTATATCTTCATTTTCAGCTTCTCTTTCTATTCTCCTGTAAGACAAGATAAACTAAATCTCACGTATCAAAATAAGATATTCACAAGTAAAATAAGATGATACCTACCGCACTACTCTCCAACATGGACGACTTCACTTGTACCAGATGATACTTGGTCTGGTCAAGACAAACTTAATTAAATTATTCCTGAAAACATGAAGGTCATATAAAGCAGAAAACATCCCCAACACTATTCAAAGACTTCAGTCTCAAGGTTCAGAATGGATAAAATTTAACATTAAGAAGGTTGTATGAAGTTTAATATCATGACAGTCATAAATGCACACAAATACCCATATACAGTACTGTACTGTATCATATACTGTACAGTATATTTATGTTCACAAGTTACAGTACAGTACAGTAATACCCCGATTTACACGGTCAATTGAACCCGCAGAGGTCCGCGTAAAACGAGAAACGCGTACAGGTAAATGGAATAACAGAACATATGGGATTAATTGAAATAGAGACTGGGCCGACTCCCAAACTCCACTTTTTCCGACACAATACCTATGTTCTAGTAAAAATAACATCTTAATTTTATGATGGTATGCACACACAATTAATATTTAAGAGAAATACAGTCGCCAGGTTAATGTCCATTCAAATAATGGACTCAACTCCCCCCCCCTCCCTTCCCATGCTCACTGGCTCGTCCCTCTCTGAAAAATGTTTGGGTGAAAACACCAGATTTTAAGGTATAGTTACAAATAATACCTCAAACTAAAGTTAGGATAATATAATTGACAATGCTGGATTCCTTGCAAGACCAGGAATATTTTGAATATACGTCATATATTTTGCACAAAAGATAACATATTTGCTCTGAGTAAACAAAATTCTTTCATTAGATCTAAAATTTGTATGTCTAATGCAAAATCTATGATGTTTATATTCAAAATGATCATCATATTGTAAGAATTCCAGCAATGTAAATTATATTCTGGCCGGGTAATTTGTATGAATTTTATGAGCTAAATAAAAAATATTATACTTCACCCTCGTATATGAGTAGATGCACCGCGTAAAGTGGGAATTCCGGTTCTGGCAGGGCACCGCATAAATGTAGAAAAGCGTAAATGAGAACCGCGTAAAGCGGGGTATTACTGTACACCGATCCTGGAAATCCCATTTTATGACAACATGGACTCAGCAACTTACCGGGTATGCATTATTCCACCAAGTATACCATACAGTATAGTCTGGATTTACGCGGTTTTTGTTTACACGTATGGTCATTTACGCGGTGCCTTGCCAGAATGAATGTTTTAATTACGCGGCGAGGTCCAGGTGCGCTGCGCCATTTTTTACTAACGCGGTCCATTCTTGACCATACGCGGGAAGCGACGCGGTGAGGGGTGCACATTAGGCCGCTCTTACGTTATCGCTGACGTCATATGACATATCGGACTGTGATTGGGCCACGCATCCTTACCACCCACGCATTCCCTCCACCACTAGCTGTGATTGGTCTAATGTAACATGACGTGCCCTGCCACCAGAGGGTAGAAGTTGCTGACCTAGCCGGGCCAGTCTCATTGTTCTCAGTCCGCGTATACAATTCTCTCTTGTGCCCGCTATTCCCCTCACAATGGCTTCCGCTGGACCCCCACCACCCGAGAAAAACCTTGAATTACCTGGACCAAGCCATTATTGTGCGAAGGAAATCATCGAAGTAAATATTGTTTATTTGCTTTTCATTAATTAGTACAGATACAGTACTGTAATAATCAGTGCCTATTAATACCTGTACCCTTCATATACAGTACAGCACAGGGGAGAAACCTCTTATGAAACATCTTACCTACTAAAGATGAAGCTTAATGACACACACACACACACACAGAGTGTAACTTTGTGTGACGCGTTGTCTGACTTGGGGTGGCTTTGAGCGAACCATACACTTGATATTACAATTTATGTATCCTTCCTGTCCATGATTTACAACAATAACTGTAGGGTACAAGTTACAATATTATACTAATAACACTGTCATGTATTGATACTATGACTAGTTACCAAGATACAGAGCACGATGAACATAACATGATAATGATAGTGAAGCCTGGAAGGGTTCATATCATAACTTGTGTGTTCGTGCGTATGTTGCCCCGTGAGAGTTACCGTGGGCCTCCATGTGCCCAGGTGGGATGGTCAAAGTATTACACTATAAGTGTGTCAAATGAGGAGTGACTGATCCACATGTAATTTAAGGTTTTTGAAATATGTAAATAAATTAAACACGATTTTTCATATAGTTACGCGAATGATGGGGTGTGGTGGAAGCATCGTGGTTTGGCACACACACACACAAGCGCTGTTAACGTTGTGTGGACTCACTGGGTGGTTTGAAGTGTTTATTTCCATTCATACTTTCGTAACTACAACCTATGGTAATTTTTCTTTGTGTTCATATATAATGAAGATAATGCAGAGTATAAAATGATTATACAATATTTATACATAATGTCATCTATACAGCCGTACTATGACTGTGTGTGTTCGTGCGTGTGTTGCCTCGTGATAGTTAGAGTGGGCCCCCGTCCAGAAAGGACACTGTACTAACCTCCAGCACCGACCCAGGTGGGCTAGAGAATATGGTTCCGAGTGTACCACCTGTTTGATAACTGCCTACTACCTTTATCTAGTGACTGATTTTTTTACTTTTATTTACTGTATTTTGTCATTCCATTTCTTCTTTAGTCTTAAATTAAGTGACTTTAGATGTATATATATGTATTTTAAGCATTGTTCTGTAAGTACGGTAAGCATATAGGGTTATATGTGTGTTTCGACTTTAGTACATTTTTTACTTAAGAACATCCATAGGAATGGAACTCTTACATAACCCAGGAACTGTCTGTATTCAACCATGCGCCTGCAGCACATTGTCCTTCTGGACAATTTAGCCTGCTCCTAAATAAACATATAACTTGGATATTTTATCCAATAACAATTCTATCAAGCTTATGATTCACTAATTTTCATTTATTTTAATGAGACACTCTTAGGTATTAGCACGACTAAGAATATTAACACAATGTGTTATGTGTCACAGTTTCAAACTTACTTGGGTACTCTTATTCTGTATGAGGATTACAAAATGAATTTTAAAAAATCCTATAACAAAAGTTAGTTTCAAATTAAGCCAAAAGTTGAGCTTCATCTATGTGGTATAAGAAAATTAACTCACTTCTCTTGTGGGTCATCAGGTGGATGTGGCATCAGTGGAGGTGGTGTCAAGTTATTTTCCTAAAAAAAAGAAAAAATTATAATATTAATAGCAGGGCTATATATGTTTCTCTACAACACATAAACAATACTGAAGAAAAAGATTATGAAGGAAAATTTATACATGCTCTTTGATAATCATGGTACACAAATTAGATCAGTAAATACCTGTACCTTGACTCATGTATCAATAACTGTACTCAAAAAACCTCTTCTCAAGTTCTCAATAAGACTGGCTGAACAGATATTTTATAACTTACATCCTTCTTAAGTAACTCCTCTAATATCTCACCAACTCTATACAGATGAAATCCACCGCACTCCAGGAACACTGGTAGCCGGGGTCAATTCATTACGTACTATTTTGACTGGCCGATGACAAATATTTTGTCATCCAAAGAACTCTTTCTAACCTTCCAATGATGAACATACAGTATCAGCACCTACTTCAAAAACTCAATTTATCGCTTGATTTTCATGGTTCAAGTGTCAAAATGCACGCCACTATTTTCCAATTCTTGTCACAATAATTGTACTGTACAGTATTACCCCGCTTTGTGCGTTTTTTTTTTTTTAAGTGTTTCCACGTTTACGAGGTACCCTGCCAGACCTGGAATGCTCACTTTACGCGGTGCGTGTACTCTTTTACGCTGAGAGTGGCTGGCGGTCATCTCGCGCCGCGCCATTTTTGGTTTCAAACCTCCCGCCATCTCTCCCGCCATCCCACCATGTTGGGTAAGCTTTCAGGATCACTTTATCCTGGGACAGTGATTTGTCAACCAGGAAACCAAATCTGTCACACAACACTGAATATGCTTCTTGGCGTCTACCCATCTGAACAATGAGCTTGTCTACAATAGGATAAAATGTCTGTGTTCGAAATCTGTCACTTGCAGTCATGGTTGAGACCGTGTCATCCCTGGCTCCTTCATTAAAAAACTGTTTCCTCATACGTTTGCATTCAGCCTGCATCTCCTCTTTGTAGTCACTTTTAGAGAATTCCCTTGCCGTTTTTTCAAAACTCTCAAATTTATCACGGATTTCAGAAAAATATGCCAGAAGACTGTCATACATCTTTACAACTGTGCCCAATTCAATTCCAGGCTCTTGAATAGCTTTATTGACTATGTTAATTTTTTTAAGCAAATCATTCCAAATAGTACAAATTAGTGCAGTCTCAAATGCATCAAGTTTCTTGACAAGGGATTTAGCTTCATGAGCAGCTGAAGGAGGTTGCCCGGTAAATTCTGCAACATTGATCAGACTCTGTCTAATCTCTGAGTAGTTCAAGAATAGGGCTGACACTGCATCACTTCTTGCAGACCATCTAGTTTCTGACATACTGTGAACTGCATAAGCATTTTTGGGGATTTTGAGACTTTCAGTAAGTATACTCCATCTTTGTGGTGAAGCTGAAAAGAAATTGTATATGCACTGTACAACACCAAAAAAATTGACAGCCGCTGTGCAAGTTTCCACAGCAACAGAGCCTACCAAATTCAGGCTATGGGCTGCACATGGTACCCACTCTGCCAAGTTATTGACTTCTTTGAATCTTGATTGCAGACTGGACTATATCCCACTCATGTTGCTTACATTGTCATAACATTGTGATCTGCACCACACAATATCTATTCCATTTTGTTGAAAAATGTTGGTCAGTATATCAAAGAGGTACCTGCCATCATGTCTTTCAATTGGGATGAACTGCACAAATCTTTCCACAACCATTCCATCAGAGAGCACATATCGGAGTATTACAGCAAGTTGATCAGTGTGGCTAATATCCGGGGTAGAATCAATGCTGACACCATAGTACTTTGAATCTTTGATTTCGGTAATTATATGTTCCTTAACTTTCACTTTCATCAGGCCTATAAATTCTTCACATACTGTCGAAGAGAGGTAAGACACGTGTCCTTTTCCAGGATTTTTGAATTTTTCAACATGGTCATGAAGAAAAGGATCGAATTCAGCCAATAGCTCTAAACACCCAAGGAAATTCCCATTGTTTGGGCTACCAACAACCTCATTGTCACCTCGAAAGGCTAAGCCTCTCTCCGAAAGAAATCTCACAACAGCTACAATTCTTTTTAGAACTTTAAACCAGTATCAATATGCTTCTTGCTTGACTTTTTCCAGCTCAGCATCTATACTAGTATGTTTCTGATGCTGCAACCTGTTAGAGAGTGCACATAAGTGATCTTTTGATTGCTCATGGGAGGATATTCTGGCAGTGGCATTCTTCCAATCATCAAATCCTGTCTTAAATTGAGTAGGACTTTGGTCATTATAGTAATCTTTGCACACATAACAAAACACTTTTCCAGTTGAAGGTGAAAAGATCAACCAGTCACGTTACACCATTTGTTAGATATCTCTGAAAGTAATTTTTTCGAACACACCCCTTTTTGTCACCGAACTGTCGACCCCTTTTGGAGAATCCTGCATCCAAGTTTTGTGATGGAATATGATCAGCATAATAGTTGAGTATATCTGCATTCACTTCCCATTCAGCAGGGTCACTACTTCTGCATTGCTGTATCTCACACTTTGGGAGTTCAGGTCGAGCAATCTCTTTGAACAGCATATTCCTGTTCAGGTCGAGGAACCTCTTCTTGAACTCCAGATTCCTGTTCAGGTCGAGGAATCTCTTCTTGAACACCAGATTCCTGTCGAGGAACCTCTTCTTGAACACCAGATTCCTGTTCAAAACCAGAAGATGCTGCTACACCACAGACAGAAATGTCCTCTCCACTTCTTGACAGTACTTCAGTACAAGGACCACTATTACCAAAATAACTACCAGTCATTGCATCATTCCTTTTTATGAATTTCAACATTGACCCTTGTTGTTTTCGCATATCTTCTTCTATGTGTTCCCTTTTCTTTCTTTTAACATGCCCAGATTCATGTTTCCTTCGGTAACCATCTGACATATTTACCTACAAGAAGAAGGGATTATATATATATATATATATATATATATATATATATATATATATATATATATATATATATATATATATATATATATATATATATATATATATATATATATATATATATATATATATATATATATATATATATATATATATATATATATATATATATATATATATATATATATATATATATATATATATATCAAGGAACTACAGATAAATGTAATTGGGCGACATTAATTAAATAAATATATGTGATCATAGTGTCATAATAATTCATGAGCTATAGTGAAGCTCGCATATCTAAAGTAACTATCAGTCTATTTCCTGTTTCTCAAAAATTGTAACCTAGCATAAAAGGCGTCTATGTCATTAATGAATCAAAGATAAATCCTACTGCACAAAATCTGAAACAGAGCAATTAATCAGAAACTCTACAAGTAGCCTACGGGACAAAGGTGAAGCTAATCATAGCTATTAGCTAGGTAGTCACAAAAACTCACAACTCTGGGTTTAAAGCCAGAAATCAAAGCTATTCGGGTAAATATACTGTCACAGAGGACCATAATTCACATTCACTCTCTGGTAGATCACTACCGTCTGCCTATACGATAATATGAGTATATAAATTTCTACAAGAAGAACAAAGACAGTTGTCACCAGTCAGTACCATGTCCATAGTGTCTATAGATATTCATCACAAACAACTAACAACATTTATAAAAATGCACTAAGCATAAGAGAAAAAAAAAGAAACAATTACCGGTCGTCTCCCAGTGTCCACCAGCTAGCTGTGCTTCTTGTAAACAAAACTATTTCTGTACTGTACAAGAACAGCTGATCTAACCCATTTTCTTTTACTCAATTCATGGCAAACATCACTGAATCTTATTCTTTCGACATCACATTTTATAATTAGGTACTAGCTTGTGTTATTAGTGAATATGCTGTCAAATGGGGCCCCATATCTTAGAGGTGCCTAAGGGCTACGTAAGTCTTAACCCGGCCCTGCATGTGAAAACATATCGTCATTTCTCTACATATGAATGTGAAAGCAACATTTATTTACTGTTCATATATGTTTTGAATAATATTTACGAATGTAAAACAAAAATTCTATTCATCAATGGCGGTAAAGTCTAAAATATAAGGACAGCCAATGAATATTGTGCGAGTTTTTACTCAGATGACGAAGTCGTCCGGTTCAACTCTGGCTGAAGCTGTAGGTTCAACTCTGGCTGAAGCTGTAGGTTCAACTCTGGCTGAAGCTGTAGCTTTCCATAAAGCTATTGCTGAAACTGTTACTGAACCTGAAGTTGATGTTGAAGCTGCTTATGATGCTGAAGTTGATGGTTTAGGCCTTCAAATAATAAAAGTCTCGAAAGAACCTTGCACAGCTGCTTTCTTTTCTCATTATACATTTTTCTGTAGAGGTCATTTGCATTTATTTAAATTTTAATGCTTTGTTCTGTAAATGGATCCACTTCAGTAAATATATTCATTGCTTGCTCCATATAATACCCACAGACCTCTCATCTTTTTCATATCGTTTTAACACATCTAGTTTCTCGGCTGAGCTTAGACACTTTCTATTGGCTTTTGAAACAACACTACCATCACTTGCTCTCTTGCCCATGTTGAATGGGGATGCAAAAATGCTGTAAGAAACCTGAGAAAGTTTTCTCCAGTTCTTGTTCCAGATGCGTGAAAAAAAAGGCCTGTCAAGCTCCGACTGTTGTTTATCACTCACTAGTAATGCAGCTTCTTTGTGCAAGGCGCCATTCATTTTTTTACAGTATTTTTTTTTATAATACATATCGAGATTTAGTTATTATTTATATGAAAATGTAATTTTATTTTATTTTTATTATATTTTGGTCGTAAATACGAATGAAATAAGGATGTAAACTGAATTGGGTCCTAAATTATCTAGGGCTTCAAATATGAAAAGTTGTTGGACGAATCGTTGTTATCCGAGGCTTTACATAGTTTGCATTTTTCATTAATTGTATTGTTTTGGGGGAAAACCACGACCATGATTATAACAACCACGACCATGATTATAACAGCCACGACCATGATTATAACAACCACGACCATGATTATAACAGCCACGACCATGATTATAACAGCCACGACCATGATTATAACAGCCACGACCATGACTATAACAGCCACGACCGATTACAACAACACGACTATGATTATAACAACCACGACCAGACTATGATTATAACAACCACGACCATGATTATAACAACCACGACATGATTATAACAACCACGACCATGATTATAACAACCCGACCATGATTATAACAACCCGACCGGTTATAACAACCGACCAGATTATAATAACCAAACCACTGATTATAACAACCGACCATGATTAAACAACCACGACCATGATTATAACAACCCACGACGATTATAACATATGATTATAACAACCCGACTATGATTATAGCAACCGACTATGATTATAACAACCACGACCATGATTATAACAACCACGACCATGATTATAACAACCGACCATGATTATAAACAACCACTAACATGATTATAACAACCACAACTATGATTATAACAACTTATAACCACACCATGATTATAACAACCCGACCATGATTATAACCACGACCATGATTATAACACGACCATGATTATAACCACGACCATGATGATTATAACAACCCACGACCATGATTATAACAACACGACCATGATTATAACCCACGAATTATAACAACCACCATGATTATATGATTATAACAACCACGACCATGATTATAACAGCCACTGATGATTATAACAACCACGAACCATGATTATAACAACCACGACTATGATTATAACAAACTAATACGAACATGATTATAACAGCCACTACCATGGTTATAACAACCACGACCATGATTATAACAACCACGAACATGATTATAACAACACCATGATTATAACAACCACGACTATGATTATAACAACCACGACTATGATTATAACAGCCATGACCATGATTATAACAACCCACCGATGCAGATTATAACAACCGAACATGATTATAACAGCCACGACCATGATTATAACAACAATTATAACAGCCACGACCATGATTATAACAACCCGCATTATAACAACCACGCATATTAACAAATGACCATTTATAACAACCCACGACCATGATTATAACAACCCGAACATGATTATAACAACCACTATGATTATAACAACCACGACCATGATTATAACAACCACGAACATGATTATAACCCACGACTATGATTATAACAACCCGACTTATAACAACCCGACGAACATGATTATAACAACCCACGACTATGATTATAACAACCCGACCATGATTATAACAACCACGACTATGATTATAACAACCACCACAACCACGACCATGATTATAACAACCACGACCACAACCCACGAACATGATTATAACAACCCACGACCATGATTATAACACCCACGACAACCATGATTATAACAACCACGAACATGATTATAACACCCGACTATGATTATAACAACCACGACCATGATTATAACAGTTATAACAACCCAATAACAACCACGACTATGATTATAACAACCACGACTATGATTATAACAACCACGACCATGATTATAACAACCACGAACATGATTATAACAACCACGACCATGATTATAACAACCACGAACATGATTATAACAACCACGACTATGATTATAACAATCACGACTATGATTATAACAACCACGACCATGATTATAACAACCACGAACGTCTGGAAAACGATGTTGCTGTATGCTGTCAACGGGACGGAGGTTGCGCTCTAGCCAAGCATGAGCGTTCGAACTTTCACGCCTCGGTTAAACTGTACCACCGGACTCGCCACTGAGCACGAAGGGCCCACGATTTCATTTATACAGTATATGTACCGTACTACCGTTCTGAAATCCGAAAAATTCCAAATTCCCAAACACATCTGGCCCCAAGGATTTTGGATAAGGGATTGTCAATCTGTATGGCCAAAAGGAATAAATAACTGAATGAATTGTTTTCAGCCACCCGTGTTGATGGTTACAACTGGGTTTTCAGCCTGTAGACTTGGTTACTTGCCCAGGTTAAACAATGGATGGGCCGAGGTAATGGATTACAAGTGACTGAACAATACTGTATTGTACTGTCAGTTTGTAAAAGTGTGTGCAACTGCATCAGTCGTAGAGACAACAGGTGTGGCACTTCAGGATGATCAAATAAAGTGAACTAAATAGATAGCTAGAATATGGAGTTATACACTTGCTCTACACAGATTACACAAAACATATTAAATAAGCCACTTGTGTTCTTGATTATTTTCAGTTTGTATTTCTTCACATTTAACGCCTATTATTTTGACCTTCTGAATACAGTATTCTTGTTAATAATCCTATAATGTACAGTATACCATTTCGTATTACAGTACTGTACTGTACAGGTCACACTATCAATCACATTATCCTTCTATAAATTATTAATTTTTGCTCACTTTCAGTTCATACACCAACAGAGAGCTGTAAAATATTTTAGAAATGTACACAGACATGGTACAGTAATTTACAGATGTTACTCTCTAATTCCTGTGTAACAATAAACTACTGTAGTAGAACCAGAGAATGATCTTCTGCTCATCCAGTAAAGGACCTTCTGAGATCCCACAAGAGGCATTCAAAAATAATTTCATGCATGATACCCTAAAAGTACAGTACAATGGTCACTAGTCTCTATAAGGACTATGGATGATGTAACTATAAATCATATATCTCCCTGCTTGTACACTCACTACAAAAAGTATCTAATTTTTTTGCTAGACAACATGACACAACGGACCAAGAATTTTGACAACTGTACCGATACAACAGGAATCGCAATGTTCATTTTGACATCCACTGGACCCAATCTTGCAGATGCTTTCTGTAGTCAGTGCACACATAAATTGTCTTAACATTTTATGATCTGCATTACTCACATGCTGATCATTTGAGTGAGAAGCAGCAGGAGTTGTAGAAGGTTCAGCATGACTGGCAATGCCATAAGTGAGGGCCACCACAGCTGCCACACCCAGCATCAAAAATACAACTCGCTGCAGACGAGGCAGCTGATTCCACCGCTGAAACAAAGTCCGTGTTAGTCAACGTAATAAATTCTTTTCGAAAAATACAAATAACTGGATATGCTTTACACTTTATTAGAAACCTGACTAATGTTACTAATTATGCTAAACTAAATTAATTACACAGACACACTCAATCAATATCCTGAACATTGTATGATACAGGAATACCCTGGTTACTGCAAGGGATCATACCTAAATGTCATTGTGAATAACAATTTGCAAAAATCGGGGCAATTTTCCCCATAAGAATCTATATACGTAAATATGGGGGGATGCGCTCCAAATCAGCAACTTTCACTACATGTTTCTCAACATACAGTACTGTACTCCTCACTACCCGGGGCATTAAGGGACCAGGGTCGCATGTATACTGTATGTCCTCGCATAACATCGGCCCGCTTAACGTTGTTTCAGTACTACGTCACAAATCTTTAGATACCAAAAATTCGTTTAATGTCCCGACAACTCAATATAACGTCATTTTTACGTCATCACAAACTACTTTTTACAGTGCATCACCCTCTCTCGACGCACTACCTCTAACTCCCTTTAAAGGCTCTTCTCCTCATGGATAATGCCCCTGGTCATGACCCTGAACTTGCCAGAACTTTGGAGTCTCAATTTGATTTTGTCAAAGTGTTGTTTTTGTCTCCCAACACTACATCAATCATACAGCCAATGGACCAGAATGTGATCAGCAACCTCAAGAAGTTGTACATGAAGAAACTGTTTAGGGGGTGTCATCAGGCAACTTCCACTGATCCTGAACTAACCTCTCTCAGACGGTGGAAACTTAAAATCCTAAAATTCGCTGGATGACCGAAAAGATATTAATACCTGAAAATATAGTATGAATATAAACATCAAAACAAATAATGCGCCACCGGTGTAGTCATCAAAATTAGCCAAAGATTCTCCCAATACTGTTAACCGGTCATACGGAACAACTGTTTTTCTATTGGCGGTGGATATTTTGCCACGACTGTCAAGTTCCTACTAATGCTATTTTTACCGTGAGTGCGCTCTGATTGGCTAATCGTCCATCACAGGCAAAGAGCGCATTAACTATATTTGACCGTGACTGACGACATTAATTTCGCCATGTCGATTACAGTATTGTGTATCTATAAACATACCTAACCATATTTCTTTTGTACATGGAAACAACTAACAAAGAGAAAGGTAAACATTCATTTTGGATCGAACATGTAAGTTTACATTTCTATTTATATACTGTATGGAGAAAGCAGAAAAAAAAATATATTAGGTTAGGTAATATTGACGACTGACCAGCAAGTGAGTTATCTGTTTTGGTGTTTATTTTCATCATTGAGTTCTGAGATGATAATCATTTCTTGTGCAATTGTTTTGTTTGGTAGTTATTTAGGTGCCTAACCGCGCACTACTTTGTTTTCTTGGCAGTAATGCGCCAGTGACGTCTCATCCCGGGATGTAAACAGCAATATGTTGAAGTATTACCAAGACACTCTGTCATCCGGGCTGGATCAACGCCGATGCTCAGTGTATGTTTATGAACCGTCAGGTATGGGCGGCTGCTCTCACGTGCACAAAAAATATAAAATTACACCATATCATAATAAGTTCTTTCTGTTTAATATACCAGGGGGTCTGGTAAGGTAAGGTTTAGTAGGTTTGTTTGGTTATGTTGGTGAGGTCTTCTAACAATGCTTCTGCTGCTTGTTTTTCATATCAACTAAGGTTAGGTTAGATTTAATTTAGAAGTAACCACCTTTAACACATTTGCAGAAACTATGACAGTGTTCACTATTAAACACAGTAAAATTGCGGCATTTATACCCTGTAATCGTTTTCTATAAAAAATCGGCACCGGGTTAGTCGTCAGTAATTACCGAAATTATCATCATATCAGCACTGTACTCACTGATGAAAATAGAAAAAGGAAATAAACACCAAAACAAGTTACTGGTTGTCAGGTCACCCATCAATATTAACCAACTACAGGTACAGCCACTCCTCGACTTACGACGGGGTTAGGGACCCAAATCCAGGTCATAAATCGAAAATGCGAATATAATACATAGAAAATCTAAAATGGGTGTCTCTTTTTCTTCTCGGCACCACAAAACTCTCACTTTTAAGCATGCCAGCCATTTTAAAGGGAATTACAAACGAAAATTTTGTTAGTACACAGCGCATTCACTAACGTTGGGACATGAAAATACGAAATTTGAAAAATTTTGGGTACGACTGGGGCGGTCGTATGTCCGGGTGGTCGTAAGTCGAGTAGGTAGTAAGTTGAGTAGGTCGTAAGTCGAGGAGTAGCTGTATTCTATTATGTTTCCAGTGCTTACATTTTTCAAGCATTTTAACCGATAAGATCTACCCAATTTCCAACAATATTGGGTTGTTGACAGTGAGCAGTGGAGGGTAAATGGGTGTTATTTTACTTTAGGACATGGCGCGCCCAAAAGCTATAAACTACTGAAACATTTAAATCTCACTATTCTGAGTATTTTGAACCCCATATATACATGGCGGAAATGGATAATAGCGATACAATTGAATTTAATTGATTTTACGTAGTTTTCAGTCTTCGTCTCCTGAGATGTTATCGGTGCATCACGTATGCGCAATAATGACTGACGTCATCCAGTCGTGACCAATGATGTATCGACATTATCACGCAAAATTTTTTTTACCGATCACATTTAATTTTTTTCAAAGGAAGCAGCCTGGGTAATTTCATTGACCATTCTCACAATGGCCATTCTGGATGTTGGTTATCACTTGTGCTCCTACAATTATTTTAAGTTTATTGCCGAGTTTTACGAGAAAGACGACCATTCTATCCAATTCTTACGTATCACTGGCCCTTCCACCTCTAACTAAGGTATTGTACTTTCGGACATGGTGCACCACAAAGTTAATTTTCAATTACTGTACTGGAACATTTAGGTTAGTTTAAGCTAGGCCTACAAAAGGGTCCGAGGGCAGAGACCCCGGCTAGGGGTTAGGTTAGGTTAGATGACTCGTTTTCATTTTCTCCCCCATCCAAAAAAACATATTTCCCAGGCTCTCCCCCATTGTTGTTTGGTGGGGGAACGAGCAATTTCCGCCAAAAATAAAGGTCAAATTCGTTTGAAACACACCAAAATACACTGGGAAAACATATTGGTTAATCTCTGGGGACTCCTGTCCTAAAGTAAAAATTTAACGGAAAATGTTGGTTAAAATACTAAAAAGAACAACAAACAAGCCTTTGAAAACCTTACCTTACCTAACTAGTAAACAGGTTAAAAATTAGGTAATGTCTGAGCACACCACTACCACCAGCAGTTGTTTGGATTTTGTTCATTTTTCCACAGATGTTCTTATCATTATAAATTACTAGAACCTGATGTAACCAACCAAAGAAACCTACCTGACTTTACCTAACTAGGGGCCGGGCCCCAGTCATATTAAACAGAAAATACTTAGCCAATCAGAGAGCACTCACGGTAAAACAGCGTTAGTAGGATCTTAACCGGTATTGGCAAAATATCCACTACATTTTGAATATGATGATAACCTGGCTAATACAGTGTATATATAAGTCATGTGTATCTTGACCTCCTGATGATGTAGTTGGTGTTTGTGTCTACTTAATTCAGACACAGCTCAATGTTTTGTTTTGTTTGAAATTGTCACAGCCTCATTCTACCTGTCAGTTTTCATGTAATTTAATCTTTTTTTTTTCTTTGTTACACCACCGCATTGCCATCCTCTAACTTTTATTTTTTCAAATTCTCCCCCCAAATAAACCCTTAGATATGAAGTGCCCTAAAACAAACATTTAGAGGAACTATTTACTTACGTTTGAACGATTCCTAAATGGCCAGATTCTGAGAATGTGCACAAGACTATTGTTTAGTGAGGGAATACAATACTTAGTTACTTACTCGGCGCCATGAACGAGAAGGTGTGGTAGTAGTTTGTTGTAGTGCTGGTAGAGACAGGGTCACATAGTCCCTCTTCTCCTCTATCACTCCTTCTGCAAACATTGTCTACTTTATAACATATCTGACACTAGGGTAAAATTTAAAACTGTCAACACAGTAAATAAAATCAGGCTTTTTTCCGGTGCACTTAGGTATTTGCACAGAACAGCACAGCAAAGCATATCAGTGACAGGTCGGCAACACGGGCAAGCGCACCACCGTGACGTCCACCAGCTGTTTCACCCCTACCATACAACAGCCGCCACCACTACCACAACTATGTTAACCTTACATCACAACACAACGTCTACAAACATTTTAGAGAAATACAAGAGAAAAAGAAAAGAAAAAAGAATATATATATATATATATATATATATATATATATATATATATATATATATATATATATATATATATATATATATATATATATATATATATATAGCCTATATGAAAATCAATGCCATAGGTCAGGTGAATTTGTTCTTTCTATTTTTATAATCTAATCAGAGATTGAGCTTGCCAGGAAAAAGTGGAATTACACACTCTGTTAACACTATTTTTACAAGCTCAGGGCGACTGCACACAAGGAACTGTGGTGTTATGCAATATTGGTTCACACTCAGGATGGGATGGAGAAAGGAAACTCACAATGTGTTCTCTGTATACATATTGTATTGGATGTACTGTAGTGGATTTCTCCCCTACAAACGCTGTTTGTCGCTGAGTAGCCGACCCCGCGAATTCCCCAGTGTATGCTAGGTCAACCAGCGCCGCCATACATCACGGAGGTCAACTATTAAGCCACGCCTACCTCCGCTATTTAAGACCTGACCTCGTGGTGACCACTCTCTTCTTCTAGCTACAGCCGCAGCAAGCTACACCACCTCCTTCGCCGCTGCCTGGCGGCCCTCGCTCCCGCCGGCGAGCATGGTGACCCATAAGCTGTCCTCCTCTGAGCACCCTCACCAACCAGCTCTCTCTACATCACGCTTGTAACCACGCTGCCACTTCCCAGCACCAAGCTGCATTGTACATCCAATACAACATGTATACAGAGAGCACATTGTGAGTTTCCTTTCTCCATCCCATCCTGAGTGTGAACACAAACATCACGTACCCCACAAATGGTGACCCCCGGAGATTCGCACTCACACAGGTTGGAAGAGAAACAGATCACGCTCCCAGTCTTCAAGCAACATGGAAGACTGGCTTATCCACCCAGAAGCAGCTCTCATCGGCTCTACAGCTGCTGTCTCTACACCGCAGGTTAGACACCCTAGAGCAGCACTGCTTTTCTAAGCAGACACCAGCTCCTCTTCCTGCCCCAAGCACCACGTCCTACCGACCCCAGCACACCCGTCCTGCCTCAGACGCCGCCCCCGGCCCAGCAGTACCCCCTGCCTCTCCTCCTGACGCGGCCCATGCGCCTGAGTGCAGACCCACACACCCCCCTTTTCTCCCTCAGGTACTCCCTGCTACTGTCCTGCACCCTGCTGCTGTCGTGGACCCAGCTGCTGTTACGAGCCCTCATCCGCTTCTGCTGACGCAGCCCCTGCTCCTGACCCAGGCCCACACACCCCAGCAGGCGCATCTGACGACTCTGTACCTGCCGTGAGGGAAGCATAACATTCATCGCCTCCACACACCCTTTTTCTCCCTCTCTTCTCCCACAGATAGTGTGTATCTAGACAGTTGTCTCCTCTAGCGGCCGGCTCATCAACGCCCTCGCCGTTTTGGCTCACATGTGGCATGCACCGCCCGTTCTGCCTCACATGTGCCATGCAACCCTGCAGACAACAGGTCTCCTACACCGCCTGGAGGGAAGGAGGGAGTATTGTAGTGGATTTCTCCCCTACAAACGCTGTTTGTCGCTGAGTAGCCGACCCCGCGAATTCCCCAGTGTATGCCTCGTGGTCTAGGTCAACCAGTGCCGCCTTACATGACGGAGGTCAACTACTAAGCCACGCCTACCTCCGCTATATAAGACCTGACCTCGTGGTGACCTCTCTCTTCTTCTAGCTACAGCCGCAGCAAGCAACACCACCTCCTCCGCCACTGCCTGGCGGCCCTCGCTCCCGCCGGCGAGCATGGCGACCCACAAGCTGTCCTCCTCTGAGCACCCTCACCAACCAGCTCTCTCTACTCAATGCTTGTAACCATGCTGCCTTCCCAGCACCAAGCTGCATTGTACATCCAATACAATATGTATACAGAGAGCACATTGTGAGTTTCCTTTCTCCATCCCATCCTGAGTGTGAACTAAACAACTCGTACCCCACAGTACAATGCAGCTTGTTGCTGGGTAGGCAGCATGGTTACAAGCGTTGATTAGAGAGAGCTGGTTGGTGAGGGTGCCCAGAGGAGGGCATGCAGCTTGAGGGACGCCAAGATCGCCGGCGGGAGCAGGAGCCGCCAGGCTGAAGCGGAGGAGGTGTTGCTTGTTGGTTGCCGTGGGTAGAAAGAGGATGGTCACAGCAGTGTGAGGTCTTATAAGGCGGGGGTAGGCGTGGGTTGATAGTTGACCCCTGCTCCGTCAGGCGGCGCTGGGGGCGTAGGCTAGGGAATTCGAGAAGGTTCGGCTACTCAGCGACAAACGGCGCTTGTAAGGGAGGAATCCACTACAGAACTATTCACAGGGACACTTTAGATTTTGAAGATTATACAGGTTGACAGAATAGTTCAGGAGATTAATGACTTTCTTAAATAGATAACTGGCACTAACTAAACTGCAAACATCAGATTCTCTGATGTTTGGGCAACAAAATAATCTAACTTCAGTAACAATTGGAAATTCATGGATATCCCCAGGGACAATATAATGGGATGCCATTCGTACTGGCACTCAACACTCACTTACTTAACAAGTGTTACTAACAATAAAGACAGTTAAAGCTTTCAACTTCACTCACAAAGGATCTTGTATGCTTTAACTGTAATCAAACATCTCTAAGTTGACTCAAAACAATGGTGTCCTCTCTCATATTCAAATTCACTTTATAGAGAGGTTGGTTTCAGGAAGTCAAAGAAAATGGGCGGCACCCACGCTTGGGAGCGATGAGGAAACGGACGCCTTAGATGGGAGACTCAGTAAAGAAGGCATAGCTACATGTTTTGTGGGGTATTGAGCGTAATATGAATCGTCTGATTTTACGTTAACTGACGTGTATGACCGTAGCCATTACACGGTGTGCTTAGTCTGAATGCGAGGAGACCCACGTTGGTTACTTTTACAGCCGCCTCGGTGTTTTTGAAGTGGATTTTGATGATGCATTTGTCTTTTTACAAGCGATTTTTTTGCGGAGTCCACCATTTCCTCTTCACAGTTTTCATACACCTGTTCATCCATCTGGAAGCAGAGGACAGTCCTTTGAGCCTTCAAGGCAAGAGGCAAAAGTGGGTCTAAATGCTCTTCCCTTAGATTGTTTACTCATCTCTGGGAAAACAGGCGATCCAGGTCATGGTCATCATGCATGATCAGGATGAAGCCATCTTTAATTTCTATTATTTTATGGGCTCTGATATTGTGTTTGTACACAGTATTGTCTGTTAGTATCCACTTGGTGGACTTATCTGTTGCCACCTTCCACTCCTACCTTCATCCCCCACTAGCCCACTAACCCGTCACCCTCCTCTCATGGCACGAGAGAATGCTTCAGACGTGGATTCATACTCCCGCGTTTCACAACTCTCGGAGATGAGGATTGACAACTGGAAACATTGACATTTGGTTCGCGAATCTACCACATTCAGGACATATACTTAATAACAGTAATGTAAAGAAACTATATTATACATATTTGAAAGTCCATATCTGGGTAAAACACCCTATAAACTGGAGGAGTGAATGCTTCCGATGCTGGTTCATACTCTCGTGGTTCACGACTCTCGGAGATTAGGTCTGACAACGCTGACTGTAGCAAGTGGAAGTGTGGGAGGGTGTACATTTTTTGTATTCTTGGAATGTCTACATACATTGTTTGTATACCCGCACTGTCTATGTAGATTGTTTTATACCCATGCTATCTTTGTATATTGTTTGTATACCTGTACTTTTATGTATACTTGTATTACCTATTTACATGCTGAATCAGGGTAAACTTGCATGGCCAGTCTATCCATTTATTCAGAGCCCACCTAAGCACCTCCTCCTTATTTATTATTTTTACTCTTGAAACTTCCTTAGTGTTTACTGCTTGCCGTCCCACACTCTGCTTCTTTCTCATTTCATCTGCTACAGTTGCTCCCAGTACTCTCTCTAACTGCACTATATACCTTCGCTCTTCCAGCTTTCTCGTTGTATTCTGTTGTCTTCACTTCAACTTCTGTTTCATTTAAAATCTTGCATCAACTTTTATCCTTAAATTTAATTCTTTCGCCTTTTACATTCTTTCAACATTCGTATTACCCGTTTGTTAATTCCAGTGTTTACTTTCCTGCCTTCTTCAATCATGTCTAAGTATCCTGTTTTTATTTCTTAGTACTGTACGTTGTAACCAGACACCTCAGCTATATTCACTCTTCAGATGCTCTCCCTCTCCTCCACCACCTCCTCCCTCTACATTGTTATATACTTTTAGAAACCTTATCTTCATTTTATAATGTTAAAATCACTTTTAATATATAATACACCATGGAGTTCGCATTCAGCGTTGTATTCACCAATATTTAGTTTCATAACAAAGTTGAATCTTCTCCATCGCGTACTAAGAGATAACTTTCCTTTCAGACCATATATTCCTCATTATTATTTCTCTCTCAACTCACCATTTTAGTTTCTCCTCACTGATATTGATTTCTGGCATTCCATGTTTACTAAAAATACCATCTACATCGCCATCGTTCTCATACACACACACAAAAAAACAGAAAGAAAAAAAAGAAAAAAAAAGGGGGGGCATGCAAGGTTATTCTCTCCCCTTCCTGCCCTACATATCAAGAAGGGTTCAACACACTGACCCTCTCGGCTCTCTCTGACCATCACCACGACCTCATCTGCAAATTGGTGAAAAGCTTCTGCACCATCCTCGACACCGGCTCGTACTACCACCCGTGATCCCTCGTCTGCGAATTGCTGTTCGACACCACAACCACATCCAGCCAATACGAGCACGTACTGATCGCTAGAAGAACAGCCTAGACCCAACCATTGTAAAAATTATCAATAACTTAATAACTTGTAATCAACCAATGTATTCACTCCCACCCAATCTTACCTTTTTGCACTGTCATTATGTTGAAATGCCCTGTAGTATGACCTTCTCCTCACCTTGTTATTAAATATCATATTTGTATAACATATGTTACTTGTATATCATTTGTCAATCAAGTGACCTATTCCCCAATTATGTAATTGTATATTTTCAGCCTTCCGGCTGCCATGCTCTTTCAATAAACCGGTAATTATTATTATTATTATTATTATTATTATTATTATTATTATTATCATTATTATTACACACACACACACTGTATATTGCTGAGTAGCGCCTAAAGACAGGAATATAAGTGTACCATCAGTGAAGGAGTGAGGCACCTGGCTGGCCTCTTCTTCTTCACACAATGCCACTATTATGGCTCCACTCCTCCCGTCCTCCTCATCTCCTCTCTTCGTGCCTGTCCCCCCTCCTCTCTCCTCCCTCCCCATCTCTCTATACTCTTCATTTTACTCTCAACAGATGAACCTCGTCACTCCCTCTCTCTCTCTCCCGCGTCCGGGGAAGGTGGGTGGGTGGCGCGCGCATCAGGTCTTGGCGAGTGTGGCGGTGACTGTGTTACTGGTGCGCTTCACAACCTGTGCTCTTATATCGCCCCCCACAACCACCAAAGTGTTTTCTGTGTGTGCCTCGTGTTCCCCTAAGGCCATGCCTAACAAGGGAAATAACAAGAGACGTAAGTAGAGCATTCTGTTGTTGTGTTTCTCTGTGGTAGTGAGGCTTTATCTAGCTAGGGTGTGTGTGTGGCGACGCTGGCCAAGGGAGGCTGGGAGTGTGATGTATACCAAGGGGTTTATATGGGTGTGTACTAGTGTATGTGTAGCGATGCTCACCAAGGGAGGCTGAGAGTGCATATATGTGTAATTGTTCGTGTGCACATGTGTGTATATCATCGTGCGTGTATGCTGCGTTGTATTCATGTGTGATTTATGTGAGTACACATGAGTACATGAAATTATGTATGTGCACATGTGTGCATGATATTGGGGATGTGTAGTCTGTGTCTGTGTGCGTGTGTGTGTGTGTGTGTGTGATCCTACTCTACACTTCATATATAAGCCACTCCAAATGTCTTAAGTTCTACATAAACACGCATGTATTTCTTACTTATGGTAGTATGTATGTCTTCCTTACTTATGGTAGTATGTATGGATGTCTTCCTTATGGTAGTATGTATGGATGTCTTACTTATGGTAGTATGTATGGATGTCTTACTTATGGTAGTATTATGTCTTCCTTACTTATGGTAGTATGTATGTATGTATGTCTTACTTATGGTAGTATGTATGTATGTCTTACTTATGGTAGCATGTATGTATGTCTTACTTATGGTAGTATTATGTCTTCCTTACTTATGGTAGTATGTATGTATGTCTTGCTTATGGTAGCATGTATGTATGTCTTACTTATGGTAGTATGTATGTTTGTGTTATTTATGGTAGTATGAATGTATGTCTTGCTTATGGTAGAAGGTATGTATATTTTACTTATGGTAGTATGCATGTATTTCTTACTTATGGTAGTATATATGTGTTTTACTTATGGTAGTATGCATGTATTTCTTACTTATGGTAGTATATATGTGTTTTACTTATGGTAGTATGTACTGTATGCATTTTTTCTTATGGTACTATGAATGTATGTCCTACTTATGGTAGTATGAATGCATGTGTTACTTATGGTAGTATGAATGTATGTCCTACTTATGGTAGTATGAATGCATGTGTTACTTATGGTAGTATGAATGTATGTCTTACTTATGGTAGTAAGTAAGAATTATGTGAGTGCTTTTATGCTATATTAAACTTTCAATTTTGAATGAAGAAATAATACAGTATCCTTCTGTGTTCATCCTCTGCCGTCTTATATACAATAGGTTTTTAAGATAATGAGGGAGAGAGTAAGCATATTATAAGATCATTTACTAATAATGTTATTAAATTCAAAATGTATGTTGTTTTTATTCCGCTTAGTGTGTCTGTAGAATATGTGACATCAGGAATAAAGACAACCAGAGAAATGGACGATGAACGCTGCTCGCTATGCCGTGGAGATAACCTTCTTCAGATGTGCCAGACATTCCTCAGCATGTCCACAGGAAAGCGAACTTCCCTTGTAAGGAACAACGTCGCTGCTATGCCTGCCTGGGTCATAATCACTGGATAACAGAGTGCAGCCAGAAGATGGTATGTGGTATAGATGGCTGCTCTGGAGTACACTCGAGGCTCCTGCACTTCACGGGAGCTCTGACGAGCAATGACAAGGTGCAACGGGGTGAAGTTGAGAAGGGAGAACACCAGACTAGCCTCCAAAGGGTGAAGAGAGCTACCACAGGGGGCGCCTACCAAATAGACATAGCACCTGACCACAAGCGACCTAGAATGAGTCAACGTAAGGCTATTATGCCACCACCGGAATCGGCATTTAGTAGAGCTAAATCATGGAAGGTCGAAGCCGGTACAAGCGCCATGGGGAAAAGAAATCCGCATAAATGGGTCAGGGAAAACCATAACCAACAATGGAATTGATGATCGGCGTGAAGAACCCAACGATTGCGAGTTGTGACTACAAAGTTCCAGCAGTCGCACTTCCAATAGTGAAAGTCAGGGTGGAAGAAAAGAACCTAGAGGCGAAAGAAGCAGTAGTCACCGGAGCTCTCTTGGATTCAGGCAGCAACTGATCATATTGCACGTGTAGTCTAGCTTACCAGCTGCAGGCAGAGGGAAGGCCAGTTTCCCTCTCCATTGGCACAATCATGAAAGAAAGTAATAGTGTAAACACCGAAGAAATCAGTGTGAGAGTGGCTAGCGTAGGAGTCAGAAAGAGCCGATCCATCATTATCCCCAAGGTCATCATTGTTGAGAATCTACCGTCTTCCCTGAAATCGTCGGTCGCAGACACCCAAGATGTCACCATGTGCGAACACCTACGAGGTACTGCGCTATGCCAAGCACCGAAAAGAGTGGATCTCCTGATAGGTCTAGACGTACCACAAGCACTAGCACCATTAGAAGTAAGAACTGGGAAAAACGGAGAGCCGTTTGCAATACGCACCTTGCTAGGTTGGACTATATATGGACCACTTGGAGTGGCGAGCCGTGATTATGCCGTGATCAACCACTTTGTCAGAATGGCAACACTAAATTTGGAGACAAATCTGGAAAAACAAGTCAGGCGCTTCTGGGAATGCGACTCAGCCTACAGTAACGATGATCCCGTCTCTGCTGAAGACAAGAGAGTCCTGACGCAGTGGTCAACGTCAATTACTCAAGTGGACGGACACTACCAACTGCCCATCCCGTTTCGCCATGAAGAACCGGGACTCCCAGACAATAAGAAACTTGCCGAGCAGCGATTGGCAGGATTGAGAAAACGCCTCCTGAAGAACCCAGGGCTCTCTCAGAAGTATAAAGAAGAGATGAGACGCCTAATCGACGAGGGACATGCTGAGCGAGTCCCACGTCAAGAACTCAGTGTTGCACCCGGGAAGACCTGGTATCTCCCACACCACCCTGTGTTGAATCCCAACAAGCCAGAAAAGGTGAGAATAGTGTTTGATTGTGCAGCCGAATATGAGTCGATGTCGTTGAACAGCCAGGTGATGCAAGGGCCAGACCTTAACAACAAATTGATGGGAGTCCTCATCAGATTCAGACAAGGAAAGGCGGCACTCATGGCTGATATCGAGGCAATGTTCCACCAAGTGCGAGTAGTACCCGAACATCGAAATGTCTTACGATTCTTATGGTGGACGGACGACCAGCTGTCAGGGGCCCCCACCACTTACCGAACGACAGTAAATCTCTTTGGAGGAGTGTGGAGTCCTTCATGCGCCGGGTATGCGCTACAACGAACATTCCAAGACTACGGGGAAAGTCTCCATGACGACATCAAGAAAGCGAATCATAACTTCTACGTCGACGATTTGCTTCTCTCAGTAGATTCGCGTGGAAAGGCAACGATAATTACCCATCGGCTGAGACAGCTGATGAAAAGGGGCGGATTCAGACTTACGAAGTGGGTCTGTAATCACAAGGAGGTCCTCAAGGCAATTCCACAGACAGAGAAAGCTGTGGGAGTAAAGGAAGTAATTTTGAAAGATGACAGGCTCCCACTGAACGAGCGTGGGGAATCTTGTGGGACCTGGAAAAGGACGAACTAGCGGTCCGGGTCCAGATCCCTAAGAAACCGGAAACGAAAAGAGGCCTTCTGAGTATGGTCAGCTCCATATATGACCCACTGGGACTCATCGCTCCGAGTGTCATAAGAGCCAAAATCATATTCCAAGATGAGTGTAGACGAGGTGTTGGATGGGATGAACAAATCACTGAACAAAACAGGGTCGCATGGCAAAGATGGCTGGATGAACTACCTCACCTATCACGAGTTCACGTTCCATGGTGCTACCGACCAGACGATATGAATCCAGTGACTACCGTGCAACTACATCACCTCTGCGACGCCTCCCAACGAGCGTATGGAGCTATATCGTATCTGAGAACCACGTGTGAAGATGGAACTCACCATATCTCCTTCGTGTGTGGCAAAGCCAAGCTAGCCCCTCTGAAACAGCAGACCATACTTCGACTAGAGCTTTGCGCGGCAGTGCTGGCTGCTCAGGCAGACAAACAACTACGGCAAGAGCTTGAATTACATATAGACAGATCAGTGTTCTGGACAGACAGTACGGCAGTCCTTCAATACATACGAAACACCGAAAGACGCTTCCAGTCCTTCGTGGCCAATCGAGTGGCAACGATACACGAGGACTCCAATGTAGAACAATGGCGCCACGTGACGTCGGCACTGAACCCGGCCGACGACGCTAGTGGTGGATTACATGGAGCAGAGCTCAACGAGGAGGGCAGGTGGATTCGGGGACCTGCTTTCCTCTTTTTGGAAGAAGACAGTTGGCCAAAGAGTCCATTGAGGATTCCAGACCTCACAGACGGAGACCCAGAGGTGAAGAAGGAAACCACGGTGCTGACAGCGAACGTTGACCAGGGGGAGGGTATCCTCGATAAGCTATGGGCCAGGTACTCATTGTGGCATCGACTTCTGAAGAGCGTAGCATGGATTAGAAGGTTTATAGAATGGCGGCTTGGGAAGCGAAAGAACAAACATCACCGAAAAAATCGGCTCCAGGTCAGCGAATTGGAAGAGGCGAAATTAGCTGTCTTAAGATTTATGCAAAGGAAAGGATTCCCTCGAGAACTAGGAATGTTAATACAGGGACAACCCGTGAGAGGTAGCGACATAAGGCGGCTGAAACCTCATCTAGACACAGACAGTCTGATCAGAGTAGGTGGCCGACTGAAGCACGCTGCTCTCCACCCAGACCAGGAGAATCCCATACTATTACCAAGGGACAACAGGATCACGGGGCTCATCGTGAGAGAGGTACACTCAACTAGAGCTGGACACTCAGGACGAGAACACACTCTTGCCATAATACGTGAGACGTACTGGATACCTAAGTGCCGAAAATTACTCGACTGCACAATACGGACGTGTGTGACTTGTCGAAGAAGCAACTGGAGGCCTACCCATCAACGCCAAGCCGACCTGCCAGAAATCGAGTGCGCCCAGGAGGCCGGCCGTTCACCTACACTGGAAATGATTGCTTCGGCCCTTTTTTGGTTAAACAACGACGAGCCCGGGCGAAGAGATGGGGAT